AAAGAGTGAGGAAATTACTCCTATTCTAAGCTATTATTATCAATCAGGGTACAATTAATAGATTACAATAAATATACAACATTTACAGCTACTTGCATTAAGTGCTACCTTCTATGATGATCAAGATCCTCTCCAACACTCCCCCTCAATCTGGTGAGTAGATATTAATCATTCCTAGCTTGCCAAATAAGAATTAGAACCCAAATGTTGACTAGGCTTTGGAGAATAAGTCTGTATCATGGTGTTCTATTGGAATTTAGAAGATAGTGATACCCCCTTAAAAAATTTCATCTTTGATTTAATTCCTATAAATTTTTACATGTTTTGTTTAATCATGCTGGACAGGGTTGTGAACTATGCTTGTGGTTGGTTCACTGTTACTACATAGTTTCATAGGACCTTCTCTAGAGAGCTTTAGGTCTTTAGGAATCTCTTGATCCTAATTGAGATAACCTGATAAGAACCTTGGGAGAACCACACCACAAAAGTTAGCTGTCGTAGTTGCAGAGCCCAGGGCCTTAGAAACCCCACATTAGAATCCCATGCTTATTTGAGACTCAAGTACCATATATTGCAAGTGGAACCTAACAATCCTCGTATGGTTGCCATGAAGTCAGCTTCAGCACTTCTCCTTGCCACAACTGATTGTATTTTGCTTCTCCATGTAAGTAGTTTTCTACATACCTTTTGGCAATACCCTGTGGTGGCACTAACCTTAATTGATCTCTTTATCTAGCCCAATTAGAATTTACAAACCCTTTGATCTTTCATGTCACGCATTTCTTATTTAGAATTCCTGTGCCTCGAGTTCCTTTGGCTGCCCCTAGTTGCCTGTTTGCAGGACAATGCGTAAACTTTTTGCTATAGGTAGTGTTGTGCCTTGTAAGTGTCTAATATATGAATTTCCATACCAACCACTGGGAACTATCTTCTAGAAATTCATCCTTGTTGGATTTTTGCTTCTAATTGCTCGAGTAAGAAACATTTCTTGAGTCTAGCAAGTAGCTGAGTACAAGGATTAAGTGGATTCGATGGGAATTTATTGATGAGGTGAGCTGCATTAAAGACAGCTTCTCCAGAATATGTATTGGGAACAGCTTTTTGAAGACATCAAGGAATATGTTACCCCTAAAAGGTTTCCTTTCTTGCTATCTGTAACAACATTTTGTTGAGAGGTGTAGATGCAAGAGCTTTGGCTATGATTTTCACGATCGATGAGATAATTAGTATGGTCAGTCAATTATTCCCTCCCATCATTGCTATTAAAATTTTGAATTTGAGATTGCTAAACAGTTGAAATATGATTATGGAATTGTTTAACAATGGGGCTCATGCCTGATTTTTCTATAAGAAGATAAGTCGGCAGGCTGTGTATTCATCAATAAAATATAGTGTGGTATTTGTTGTGAATAACAGAAGAAAGCACCTGGTTGTTAAAATAACAAGTCTTAGGCACAACACATCACCCCAAAACGGTGAAGAACTTCAGGTTGGTGTTGTAGTAATTGTTGTCTGATTTGCTCTCTTAACTGTGCAAGCTCCTTCACTAATTCATTGCTCTGATACCATGTTGAGAGGGAGAGAGGAGAGAAACGAGTGATGTGATAGAATCCATGTGTTTGAAATACACAGTGAAGACTATTATAATTATATATGCTGAGAGTAATGAAATAAGGATTTTCAATTCTCCTAATTTCCTTAGTTACATAATAATGTTCAACATGTATTTAGCCCATAATCATCTTTTTTACATATATGAAAGCAAGATCTCCAAATAAAAGGAAAAGCCCTTGGCTGTCAGGGGTACACACTAGGTCTGCAAAAGAGGAGAGACCAACTCAAAATAGAGGAATTTGAGGTGGACCACTAGGTAGATCTACTAGGATTTTAAAGTCAAATCCAAAATATTCTATTGTTGTGCTGATTGGAGATAATATTGTGAAAAGGCCAAATGGGTATACAAGGTTTAGAGTTGTCCAAATGGATCAGTAAAGAAGATACAAAGCTCATTTAGTGGCCTGATGATTTTCACAAGTGGGATTATGACAAGGAATTAGTTCAATGGCTAAAATAATTATTGTGTTTGTGCTATTAGCACAAACAATTAGCAAGTCTTGGAGGCTTTGGCATACGGATGTAGGAATTTATTTCTGAGTAGTTAGATTAGGAAATATACTCCAAGGGATATGTTGAGAGCAAGGCTCACTTATGTATACAAGTTGAAGAAAGCACCTTATAGATTGAAGCAAGCACCAAAAGCATGATATGAAATAATTAAAACTCATTATAATGAATATTCAATGGCATGACTCAAGATTGTTTATGAGAGCACTAAATAATGAGATAGCTATAGTGTTGGTGACTATGAATAATATCAGTATCACTAGAGATGACAAAGAGGAAGTCCTTCAAATAAGCTAGACTATGGAGTTGGAGATTTAGAAGCACTTTCTAGGACTGGAGGTTCAAAGAACCATTGACATGCTATTTTATCTGCTAGTAGAATTGTTCCCGAGATCTATTAGAGAAATATGGTATATTGGATTGCAAGTCAATCTCAACATTGACAGAGGTTTGATGCAAGACTCTATCTGGTTGTGATGTTAGAGAATTAGTGGGTACTGCATTGCTTAATCTGCTTTACGATGATTCTACATAGTACATCGGATATTGAGGTGTGTCAAGAGTATCTTTTATTTTATATAATACAAGAAATGTTTGAAATATAAGGTCGTACGTCATTGCAATGCTAATTATACTGGTGACTACGATACTTGATCAATGATTGAATATATGTTTAACTTGGAATTAGGAATTTGATAAATGCTAGTATACTTTTGTTACACTTTTTAATATGATTTTTGTTATTAGCAAAAATTTATTGGAAATCACATAAAAGTGAGGGAATAGTTGAGGGGGAGCGTTCAGAATGTTAATCTGTTTCTCCTCTTAGAATAATCTGGAATGTACTAGACGCTACAGCTGCGATCATATTTCTCGAAGCGGTTAGATACATTTAAACACCAACATACTCGTATGTCAGTTGGGAAGGAATTGTCTTATTGGGAATTTTATTTTTTTTCAAACTCCGCCTATGTTTTCATAGTTTGTCCCAAGCCCGAGTTAAGTAGGAGGGTCGTGCTGAATCCCAGTCCCACCATGGCATTTTGTTAGTTAATTTGATCATGTCTGAACTCTGAAGTGGCTGGGTTTACAATCTTTCATCTTACATGTTTATTTCATTACATTTCTATTTTTAATTACTAATATATATATATAAATATAAATTTACGACAGGATGCAGCTAAAGTCATCCAGAGCATGATCCAGAAAAATCCAGGTTCCCTCAACTTCAATGTCATTGCAATATCAAAGAAATCCAAGGATGGGCATTAAGGATGTCAATTTGGGTGAGAAGCAATTCTTGAAGTTAACTGCAGTATCATCAATCCCCAGACATCCATGCAGCTTTATTCACTTTGCCTGTATTTTATGCTCGGATTTTTATTTTATTTTCATTCGGTGATCTATCTAGTTCAGTATCTTTGGTTCAAAGTAGACTCAGTGCGAGTAACTTCGAGCTACAAGTTCTGTTTACTGCCAACATAATAACAATGCGATAAATGTTGGAACCAAATTTTTAAGTAGGATGATGATATGTTATGAACAAAAAAAATGGGTCGGTCAACCTACATTTTAGAAAAGAATGAAACTAAGGATGAAACTTAAATGTTGTAACACTAAATTTTTTTAATCAGAATTAAAATTTTATTTCGATAATATCTTTTATAGAGAATTTAGTTATTAATTATATATATATAAAAAAAAATTTAGGGTAAAATTTCAATTTTGAATTGGAGAACTGTATTAATGATATATAATATTTTATTTAAATTTTATTTGAAAGAAAATAAGGGTTGAAAACAATAGTCTAGTGCTATCAAAATGGGTTACTTGAGTGTGAACATCCAATTTTAGTTATTATGATTATTATTGTTGTTGTTATTATTATTATTATTATTATTGTAATTTATATTGTAATTTATATTGTCTTGTGTACTAAAAATTCACTATCGTCAAATGATAAAACCAACAGGTTATAGCAAATGAAAATGAAATTGATAGAAAATGAAATTGTGAATATCATGAGTGACCAAAAAAAATTTATAAAAAGGGTAATAATATAAAAATACAAAAGTGGTAGAACAAATGGCTTGTAGCAACGTGCAGGTAGAGGTTTTGAGATATTTTTGTGAATGTTTGTCTCCCTAAGACAATGGTTAGCAACAATACAACAATGTTTCATGATGTCCATACACATAGAGATATTGAGAGGAGAGTAAAATAAATGAGCAGATAATGAAAATGAGAGTTCATAAAAAGTTGGTCTTTATACTGCTCTCTTGCAGATTGTTTTTCCACACCAAAGCAAGACTATTTAGATGAATGTGGCAAAATAAAGCTAATTTTGGAAACTAAGAGAAAAAGGTTGTACAGAGGAAACGTATAGAAGGTCTTTCGCATTTGAAACACAACAAAGACAAATGACATCTCCCAAGAAGAAAGGTAGAGAGTATTCATGTAGCTGGAGGCTTTACGTGAACTTAGAAAAAGAGTCCAGTGCTTATATAAGGAAGTCATAGAGAAGAAGGAGAGGGGTTTTTTTTTGGAGAGGAATGGGAAAAATAGAGTGAGCAGTAGCCAAGAGGGGGAAGGCTCCACTGGCTTTTGTTATTAGTTTTTTTTTCTCAAGTAGTTTCCTTCTGTTCATCATCAAGGGATATAAAACGCAAGCAAAGCAGGGATGAGACCAAGTCGTGAACAATAGCATAAGCCATGAGCAATAGTTGTAAAATTATAGCTCCAGATTCTCAACCACAAAGGTACGATTTAAGTATTCATCACGTTTCTTTTCAAATACTTTATTATTTCTTGTTTCACTATTGTATGTTTAGACTAGCTTTTCTACTCAACCACAAAGATCTTAAGCCTACACACACGTCATTGAAAATGAATTAGTAAAATATGCTAGATGACAAGACAATATCAAGAATTAAATAAAAAAAGAAAGGTAAGTAATATTAAGTTTTAGGAAATCAGTATATTCTTACTTGATATTGATTTGATCATTTTTTAAAAATGTCTTTTTTAATAGTTTGTTTAATAATCGATTAAATTTACTTTATTAAACAAATTAACTAGACGTGTATATTTAACCATAGATCAAGTTTACTTTATAGATTAATTGCACATGACAAATTTTAATCCTGAAATCTTAGAGCACGAATTGTGATAACTTTGCAATTCTAAGTTCTCTTCTAAAAAATGAAATATTTCATAATTGTTAATCTAGACTAAGTCATTATAGTAACAATAGTGTTATATATAATGAAAACCTAATAATTTTATTCACTATAAAAAAGGAAAGACTTTTCTAACATTTTGTTTTAAAGAAAGTGGATTAATTAGATGAAACATTTATTTAATCCTAAAGGTTTGTAAGCAAACAGTGACAATTTGATAGTTCTAAAACTTCTCTTTAAAATATATCAAAGTATTTTTAAAAAAAAAAAGGAAATTAGCTAAGGAGTATACCTTAATTGGTTCCATCATGTAAGATACGTGAACTGTATAATTAAAAGATCCTACAACTATAATAATAATAATAATAATAATAATAATAATAATAATAATAATAATAATAATAATAATAATAATAAGAGTTAAGGATTATGCACGGAATCGTGGCAATATGCAATGACAATCATGTGATTGCAATTATGCATTGGTCGTCGTCATGTAGTGGTGGTGTGTGGTGTAGAAGATTCCATGTATGTGGAATGTGGTAACGATGCATGTGGTGGCAATGTGTGATGCGTTTAAATGAGCATGGATGTGGAACGAGGCAACCACATGGTGATGGTGTGCGATGGTGGTCTCGTGATGGCAGTGCACGAAGACATTGAAGAGGTAAAGAAGAACACGAAAGACAAACCCTAAATTTCTAACACGGAACATCCAAGTGAATGAAGTCAAGTAAAACTTAAAAAAAATAATTGATATTATTAAAATGATAAATGAGTTAATCCGCCACTAAGTTCAAACCTCAACCTAACCTAATAATAATAATATATAAAAATACTAATATGATATTCATTTAATTAATCAAATGCATTGACTTGGTTCGGTTCATAGAATTCAAAATTCAAGTTCCAAACTGAACATATTTGATTTCTCGTTTTAATCCAAATTTTTTTTCCTTCACTTCAGATTCATCGGATCATCAAATTTATCCGGACCATGTCTACCCTTACTTAAAACCAAACATATGAAGTGAGGTTAGGAACATTTAATAGAACATCAAGATCTAACTTGAACAAGGTAGACAATTATAAACATATTAAGTTCAATTGAAGTGATTAGTTGAAGTTGTGTGGATCATGCAAAACCTCAATACAAATTAATTATAACAATGGTACAATGATATGATTATGTCCTAATGAATAAATGAATGTATAATCCCAAATAATTTCGATGAATCAAACTCAAATAAAACGCAATAATCAATATTCAATCGATAACTAATTTAAATAACTTAATTAATTCTAATTAACATCTATTCTTCTTTGTTTTTAGTGGGATGTAAAAATAGTCTTGCTATTTTTTTTCATAAATCCACCACACTCTTAATTTTTATATCTAAATATTCGGATTTATAATATATATTTACTGTTAACACTTATTTTCATATTATATTGCATATTTCAGTAGTGTGATATTTTCGAAGATTAGTGTTGTATATTTGATAAACTTATGCTATTGATTTATCAAATACGGGAACCGATGGATGATGTTAATTCCCTATTCCCTCCTATGAAAGATTTATCAAAATTTACGAAAACTTTTTTTTTTTTTAATATTCTGGATATATGATAAAAAAAATTATCTTCTTTATTTGTGTGCTATAACATGAATATGTATTTATATGTATCTTCAATGAGACTACTAAGAAACTCAATTGGTATCTGTGTCCAAAACATTTCATGAGTGTAAACTAACCTTCCCTAAACCTACTCAATTGGTGTGGTGTTACAAACACAAATCTCATGCTTCTTGTCAAAATTTTGCAGCTTGTGCCATACATTATTGTTATTAAATAAGCTTGTGATCCTGACATTTATGGTCATTATCTTGCCTATTCGGATAATCGTGGGATCTTATTATTGGTTGCTCAAGTGAAGAGGTAGGTCGTCCAAAATCCAAGTCTCGCTATGTGTTTGAGAGATCTTACTGTCTAAAGGGGACTATCTTCGCGCATATCTCCCTCGTTAATCTTGGTGTTTGGTACCTAGCCATTCAAGGGGGAATATAATTGTCGTTTGGCCGAACCCCTTGGTATTCGCTTAGGAGACCCCTTGATTGGTAGGAGACCACCACGATATAGAGCCCTCCAAACTCAGTACTAAAATGCAAAGAGTTTATGCTCTCATCCAATTTAGATTTTGATGACATATTTTGAGTTGGTAGGAGACTACTATGGTACAACTTTGTAACTAAAAATTATAGTTTATGATTTACTGTTTATGTTTGAAAACTTTGTTTATGAAATTATGAATATCAACTTTATTATTAAGTATAATAATACTTGTTTAGATAAGATAAAAAAACTTTATCATTTTTTTTCTTTTTATTTTGTTTATTTCTTATTTGTTTAACTTTTTTTAAGCAAATCAACACATCTCAATGTAGACGAACTATTATAGGGTTGTCAAAACGAGTCATGACTCTTGAGCTAATCTGACCCACCACAAGTTTGAGACAGGTTAGGCTAAAAAAATTAATTATAAATTTTAGTACTGTTAAAAATTCAATCCGATCCACTAAGAAAATGAAAGTGAACCCTCAGTTCAGCTCACTAAGGTCATGCAAGGAAGGGAGAGATGGCGATTGAGGGTGCTTTATAATGTTATAATTTTTTTAATTTTGTTCTTTCTAACATTGAATATTTTTAGTCATTGTGAGAGTTCTATTGTTCCTATTTTGTTTTTAATGACTTAATCCCATGACCTATAATCTCTTCTTTTTTTTTTCTTCAAAGAAAATGAAGATGCAATCATTCTTGCATCCATGCTTACATTTTTTTAAAATGTACTTTTTTAGGTTAATTTGACCCAATAATCCAACCGAAGCTTAAAATAACAGTCCAAAAGAATATGGATCAGACTAGCCTAACTTAAAATAACGTTTGGCTTGTATAGGTCAAGTTGGACAAGGTCAATTCGATCCATTTGGCACCTATATTTACAATGTTTTCTTTTTAAAAAAAAAAAGTATTTAGTGTTTATTAGTTAGACTTATGACATAATAATGTGTTTTTAAAAGTTATTTAATACAATTTCTTATTTTTAATTTTTTGCATTTATTTTAATAATTATTATAATCATTTGATTGGATTTGTTCAATTTAGATTGAAGATTAAAAAATGAAAAAGAAAAATTAAACTAATTTAAATCAGTTAAAAATAAAAATACGGATCAAATCTGATTCAATCTAATCCATGTCCAACCCTAATTTTTAAAGATTTAAATTTCAAATTATTGCATGCTTTTGCTTATTTAATTATTTTTACATAATTTTGTAGCCAT